TATACTTATCGTAATGTATGCATAACAACATTGAAAATAAATGTAAAGAAAATAATAAAATTAATAAAATTAATAAAATTTCGTGTGACAAAATATGTTAGATAATTTTAATTAATTTATAAATAATTATGTGAAGATATATGTGATGAATATATGTCTTACCAATTTCCATAGCGTCGTTTTGTATAAATGTTTCTTTTGTACTATTTTTTGCATTTACAAAAATAATTAATGTAAGAAAATAAAATAAGCTAACAATTTTCTGAAAGAATAAAAACATTTTTGTTTAAACTAGAAAAAATATTATTAATCTATATTATACTCTAATATAATATTATCCAACTTACCAATAGTTTCATAGTGATAAATATAAATTTAATGATATTTCCCGATGGAAACGAACTCTTTATGTAGTCATAAAGAGCATTTAGAGCATAACCGAACCAGATATTTATGGTTTTCAGATACTTTTTGTTACAGAGAAAGTTACTTTTTGTTTTTTTTTACAAATAAGAGTGAAAATATTAAAATAAATAGAAATTATATATTAAAATATAGATTATAAACTTTATTAATTAAAATAATAAAAAACGATTAAATTTATTTTTATTTTCAAATTTTTATTTCAGTTTTCCATTTTTTATTTTAGTTTTGCTTGAAAAGTTGAAAATAAAAGAAGAGACATTTTCAAATTTTCAAATTATTTTTAACAAACTACAAACTTTAATTCATTTAATTTGTCAATATTTCTATGAATAGAAATTATTTTATCAAAAAATTAATTATATTATTTTTTCTATTATATTGATCAAATATGATTTGATTTAAATAGTATATATTTTTAAAAAAAATTGTTATTTCTTATTTTGAACATTATATAGAGAAATCTTAAATATTTGATGAAAGCAAATAGCGCATATGTAAAATTTTGATAATATATTTTCATTTGTTATTTTTTATACATATATTTATACATGTATATATTTATTTTATCTATATATACATATATAAATTATATATTATATACATATAAGTATACAATTTATACATATATATATATGTATATCCAAGGAAACCCATTTTACATTGTTTTATAATATCTATATATTTTTATTGAACTACAACATTAATGAGATTGTTTTTGATATCGCGAAAAATATTTATGTTTTCGAGTAAGTCCTTTAAAAGCGCGAATAAATATAACAATCCTTGCATACAAATATTAATTAAATATTTATCAATTCTTAAATCATACAATAATTTATAAACTAATATGAATATTTACACATTGCTAAATATCTATAATTAAAAGCAAAATTGATAAATAATCATATTTGACATATTCAATTATTACAGAAATTCTATATATTTTCATTCGATATTTTACATATATATATTTTTTAATAAAAAAATGGTATATAAATTAAACTTCTAATTATTTCATATTAAACATATTATTTTTTTATTTCTAATATCTTTCTGATTATTTTATTGATTTTATATGTATATATGTATATTTTCAATTTTTTTTACTAACAAAAACATTTTCTTCTAATCAATTTAAGAAAAAGACTTAAAAAAAATATCACTTTAATAGTTATTATGATCAGAATATTCTGTAAAAAATAAATAAAAAAATAAAAATAAAATACACCGAAATATATCTGATTAATAAATTTATATTGTCAAAAAGAAGCTTTTATTTCAACTTAAAAACGGACATTTTTTTATACGTTACAATCAAATATTTTTTTCACATCGTATTAAATAGTTTTTAAGATCAAGTAAAATTTAAAGAATATTAATGTATATCTAAAATTATAGATAACATTGTATTATAAATGTTTTATAAAATAAATATTTTATATTATTTAAAATCAATAACATGTACTTTTATGTACATATAAATGGTGATTAATATTCAGTGATTAGAAAATATTAATTGAATTGTTAAAACATGAATATTTTGTTAAATTCAATTATGACATTTTTATACACCATTAATGACATTTTTATACGTCATATTTAATTTTATTTAATGTCTATTTCTTTCTTTTTTTGGTCAGCAATTATAATGAAACCTGTATTATACATTTGATTTAAATAAGAAATTGACATTATATATATATATATATATANTTTTTGAAATATCTTCTTTTAAATAAAAGGTAATATTATGTTTTTAATTTACTTTGAATATATAATAATGTTTAAAGAAGAAAATAATTCCTCGAGAAAAAGAAAAAGCTACTAAAATAATTTGCGTATGGTTTTTAAATACTTATATATTAAATTTGATCATAGCCTTAATAATTAACACTTAACTTCTATAATTCTTCAATATAACGTTTAATATCATTGACAAAAATTTCCTTCGATCAATAGATCGTATTATATTAATTTATCATTATCATCTTGGAAGACATCATTGGAAGACTCGTTTCATAAATATTATCGTTTCATCATTTAAATAATATACTTCTGTAACTGCGAGATCCTCTTTTTTTTATTTTCGATACGTTCTTATCTTCTTTTTTCTTCTTTTCGATACTTATTTAAAAAAAATCATTGAAACGAAAAAAATATAAATAGAATTCTATTAAATAATGTTAATATTATTTTAACCATATATTAAAGCTAATCTCGTTATAATAATATTCATATATGTTTTGTTCTTTCTAATTTTTCATTTCGTTTTACCTATACTTTGCTTATAAAACATTTAAATAATATCAGACCGATGTTCAATTCTTGATATTAATAGCACATACTTTCAACTTTTACCCACATATATCGTTAAAGCTAAAATCGAAAAACGTGACATCTTTTTAAATCGTAAAAATTAATATAACAATTGTTGCTGCTCGATACTTCTTGTAAATTATATTCATCAGAATCATTTGATTTTTTTGTTTTTCTCTTCACATACATAATATGTAATGCTAAGCGAAAAAAAAAATTTCTAATGGACATGGATATGTTTAAGATTTAGAGAAACAATTGAAACAGCAACAATTGTATAGATTCATATCTACGCAAAAACTTAAAATTCTTAATACATGTATAATATTTAAATCAATTCAATTTGAGAGCATCTCGCAGCTTCCTCCGAGCTACTAGTTCATCTACATTCATATTGCTTAAACTAACGTGAACTATGCAGACCTATAAAGGCCTTTGGAAGACGTTGGATTATACAACTAATTGTACTCGTTCGTACATAACTTGATTACATATGTATTTGCATTCGCTTGGATGACGAGGAGACGTTAGTAGAGAATATATTATGTGCTATAACTTGTTAAACGCGTTGGCAGCTAAAATCCTCAAGTTTTAACCATAATACGAAACGTTGTCATCTTCTCTTCTTTTTCGCTCAATGAAATCGACTAAACTGTATACCACTAAATTGTATATTTAACAATGAAAACGCCTCCTCGATCGCAGCGTGATTAATCAACGTGTAGATAGAAATTACAAGACCCGCAATCATGATTATAAAATCCCGAAATCTGCATAACAGTAGTTAACTTGTACGTACAATATATACGCTTTTGTAAACGTATTATGGAAGACATCGATCACTTACAATCAGCAATAATATGTATTGTCATGTTTACTGCGTACTGAATAGTAGTCTATATGTTGCCTAGAAAGCCCCTGAATCTCGACGATTTTTCTTAATGAAGAAAGGAAGATGTAGAAACCAGAGAGAAGGATGTAGAAGAACACACGTCCAAGCCGAACTGTATACGCGAATAGATTTTTTTTTTTTTCTTTTTTTTCATTTTTCTTCTACTAAATTTTCTCATCTTAAATAGATCATTTGCTAGATATGTGTAAGTTCTGGTTGAATATAAATATACAATCTCAAAACATCTCTTTTGTATAGCTTTCGATCGAACGAATTTTTATATCTACTTGATCGAGCGAAATGGGATATATTTTTCTTTTTCCTTTTTTTTTTTTTTTTTTTTTTTTT